ATTCACCAAGGCAAGATTCTGAAGGGGAAAGAAGGTGAATTTAATAAAAGTGAGGAATTCAAATTAATTGTACTATTGAAAAACCAAACTCCTTTTCCCATTATTACGGATGGCTGAGGAAGTATATGGTATTAAATGACAATTAGAGATGGGAGGAAGAAAAACAGTGCACTTAGCAACAGCAGCTAGATCACCTGGGGGAGAGAAAAGGCTCGAATTCAAAGACTAACCCTGAGAGTATCACAGACTTGCATTTCAGGCTCTCACTTGTGGGTAGCTTTGAAGACAAAGCTTCCAAACCCACTGCATCTGACAGACAACATCTTAGTCTATTAGAAAGGGTGTCCAGGGCACAGAGCACTGACAGCAAGACACCAGAGCACAGAGAAACCACCCCCACCAAAAGGCAAAGCAATATAAGTCAGGAACATTTCCTTGCCTGATGGATGATAAGCACACAACAGAAGGAAAAACACTCAAATTGCACTTTGAGGCAGACCAAGCTCTTTTCCCACAGTAAATTCTTTGTATATGCACATCAAAAACAGATCTAACAATCCACTGGGGAAAAACCAAGGCCAGTTTGTAGCTGTGACAGAACTGGCGTGAGGGCAGATCTCTGAGTGAGGTCTTGACAAAAGATGTCTTCCTTGTGACCATGCAGTTGCTTATCCTAACATGTCAAGAGTGGGAGTAGGGACGTGGAGACAGATAGGATAACTAGCTAGAGGGGATTCTGGGAGTTTCTTCTGAGTCCACTCCCTCTCATCCTGCCTCAGCAAACAGCAGACTGCTGAGCTGTCACACTTGTCCTTCCAAGAGACACGACTGACCTGGGCATGAGACTTCCCCTTGCACACAACATTCTATTCTGTGTTAAGCAAATCCTCTACTAGACAGTGGCCAGTGAAGTGGTGGGTACCCTCTGCTACAGGAGGCACAAGGTTTGCCCGAGTCCCTACAAGTAAGTCATGGGGCTGCTGGTGTTAGGGACGAGTCTCTCAAGCACTGGCCTAGGACTTAGGAGACCAAATGCTAAGTCCGCTCTCCAGATTTGGGTAAGTCACAGTTTAACTTCTGCTCTTTCTATCCCACAGAGCTGAAGCTCTTGGTGGCAAAGTATCACATACTAGATTGAAAATGTTCTGCAAAGTGTACAGGATAATATTAAAAATAACTGTAAAATTACTCCACCACTACAACCACTGCCACCAGAGCTCACACTTTTGTTTTTCCTCTCAGGAAAGAGTTTTTCTTTCTCACTGAAGTGGAAATGCAACTACCTATACATGCCCTTTGCTCATCACACTTACAAATTACCCCTCCCCTTGGGCAGTGGGAAACTAAATGTGCATTGTATAAGAGAATGAGAGCTCAAGCTATCCACAGTGAGTTAAACTGGCAGGCAATTTTATTTACTATTTGGCTTTATTTTTGGCAACACACACACACACACACACACACACACCTTGGCATATATATGCAGAAGAAAAGGACACTGGAGCTCTGAAATCTAATCATTCTGAGAACAATATTCTGCTTGGAAAAGAGACTCTTAATGCAACAAAATGTGTGTAATTCAACTTAGCTTCAGTCCACAAAAGGGAAGAAAGAGTTGGTCTTAGAGAACCCTGGGGTCTCTTTATAGCATTATTTTACTAGAGTGCTGCAGAGCTTCTCCTCTTCTTTCTCCCTAAGGGAGCTTAGCAGAGCGATCCTGGAAGTAGAACACAAGCTTCCATACTGACTAAGTGAACATTTGACATCTTACAGATAAGGAAAGTGCGGCCAAAGAGAAGACTTTGCTTAAGATCCTGGAGAAGGGTGGATGTTTGCCTGGCTTTTGCACAATCCACAGCCTTTTCCGTCTCCAAGGGCCTCATTTCCTTAGGCCAGCAGGAGCTCAGCCCACTGTGATTTTAGGCTCCTCTCCTGACAGACTGACCTATTGGGAGGGGAGGGGCCACCAGGGTGCAAGTAACTGAGCTGGGTCTAGAAACTAAAGGCCAAAGGCTGAAAGGCCCATCTGTTGCAGTCAATTCACCCAAATGTGTTAACAGGCGGGAGACAGCACAAAGCAGCAGTTACAACCTGTGCCCCTTCCCACATGATGGCTGTTTTTATCACCTGCAGCTGCAGTCATTTGGGGCAGCCTGCTGTGTGCTGCCTCCCTCAGAACCCTGTCTACTTCCTCTGAGGTGCTTGCTATAAGGAAGCTGCCCAGCCCAGCTCCTAGCCCAGGGGAGCATGACCAGGACTTTAAAATTCAGTTTATACAATAGGTCTGGTGGAATCAATTGCTGCTGAGATCCCAGCTCAGGAGACCTACACTTTGAACACCCTACATATTCCACTCTGAAGAGTGATAAGTAAGAACAGACAACATGCCTCTCACCAGTAAAGGTGTAACTTGCTTCCCAGCTCATGGGAACCCCACTCATACTAGACTAGCAGCTAACAGTGTTCCAGGAAGGAGGTCCTGGATCAGTCTCAGAGACTGTCTCTGTGCTCCAGTGTGGTCTCATGGGAACCCCACTCAACCGAGACTAGCAGCTAACAGTGTTTCAGAAAGGAGGAACTGGGTTGGTCTCAGAGACTGTCTCTGTGCTCCAGTGCGGTGTGGACTCCTGGAGCTCTCTTCATACTCTCAAGCAGGAGGTGAGTGGGGAGCTTGAGACACACTGCCTGACAAAAGCTGACCCTAAAATGAGGAAAGATGATTTTCATGGCGTTTTCCCTCCTGTGGAGAAAACTTTCTACTTACTCTTTCTAATCATATGGCAGTAGCTCTTTCTAGAGAGCAATTTTCCCCCAAAGGCCGTTTACAATATCTAGAGGCATTTCTTGTAGCCCAGAATGGCTTCCAATAAACCATGTAGCTGAGGCTGGCCTCGACTACTTCCACCCCTGCAAGTGGAGCAATTATAGGTATATGCCCCACATCTGGCTTCTAGAGACATTTCAATATCACGACTGAGCTTTAATATTGAAATTTACTAGGAAGAGGCCAAGGATACTGCTAATATTCTTCAGTGTACAACAAGTGTACTTCCACAAAAAATGATAATCCAGTCCCTCAAGTCAACAGCTGCTAAGGCAAAGAAAATCTGCCTAGAGTTACCAACAAGCAGAAGACTGAGTTATCTTTACTCTTTTGGTGATACCAGCAAATGGTGAAATATCTAGCAAAAGTGCTGAAGACAGACCCAAAGAGCTATAGACCAACATCATCCACAGCTGCCATCACGCAAAAACATGCTGGATGACTAGCTGGCAGCCCCTGGACAGCAAGGCCATGAAGACTGCATCCTTCTACTAACCTAAACTACAGCATTGCTAGGGAAATGAAGCAGAGCTACACCAAGCTCCAAGCAGCTCAGTCACCTGCAGGGCAGGCTGAGTCAGGAGAACCAACAAGATGCTCAGACAGCAAACATCCTAAGCACCACCCGCCTGGTTCCAGAGATAGAGGTATGACAAGTGACTGTCCCCCAGGAGCCGCAAGTCTAAAGGAAACTTGAAGGAGTAAACAATTAGCAATCTTACCCATGACTAGGCTGATCTAGCTTATACTTTCTTTCTTTCTTTCTTTTTTTTTTTTTTAAAAAAAAAAACCCTTCTGGGAAGAGAGAAAGACAATGAAGTAGAAACTAAGGCAGTAGAGCTCCACTGCTGATTCAAATCTATATTGCTATGGCAGCCCCTCTGAGACAGGATCAGCTCCTGCCTTTGCACCAGCTGGCCTTGTGGAGCTTGTAAATAATTAAAAGGTAATTGGAAGGCGAGGCCAAAGTATTAAGTGGATTTCTCTCTCTTAGGGCACTGGGAGTTTCCCTGCTGCCAGTCACATCATCATTCAGGGCTATATTTTTGTTTTCTACTCACACATACCAACCAGCTCCAGATAACTGTTGGAGGGGTAAACTAATTAGGGCTGTGAATACTGCTCTGATAGGCTTGGAGACAGAGGAACAAAGCCTCTAACCTTCCTACCGCCTTTTAAAGCATATCAGTAGTGAGTGCTCACTACACTGAAGGCATAGGCTTAGAAAAAGGAGTAAAAAGGGAGAAGCAGGGGAGAGAGTGGAGGGAGAGAGGGGGAAGAGAAGTAAGGAAAAGAAGTGGGGAGAGGGAGAGAAAATGAGCTGTGTATTCAATAATATTTAGCTGCCATCAAAGCGCAACCTAGAACAAAGAAAAAAAGTCATTCCCAGATCTTAATAAAGTTGCTAACATATCTCAAGGAATGTGTGATCAGATTTAGAAGGTTTCTAGTGAAGGGGATGATGGTGGCTATATCTTGAGGGTGATGAACATGGAGCTACATAAATTGTTAAGGGTCCAGAGTGGCTGAAGTCCTGGCCATGCTTCCTGAGGCCTGACCTAGCTGGTGAACCCATTGCAGTGACAGGATATAAAGCCAGGAAGTTGAGTCATTGGGCTCAAGAGTCAGTCACGACCTGGTCCAGAGTGGAGCCAGCTATAGGGGGTAGTGTGGAGGGAGGAGGACAAAGAACTGAGAAGTGGATTATAACTGGATGTCTATGTACTCAGCAGTTAATTTGCAGGATTATCCCAACTATGTCAAAGAGATCCAATAGGTAATGTTGGCCCTTCCTTTTCATAGAACATTTCACACCCTCCAAAACAAGCAGAGGGGTCTCTATGCTTTTACTTACCTTTTCTCAGTCTACGTGGGACTAACTACGCCAACAGTACATGCCACATGCTTAACTAAATGAAACCTGTGGCAGCTATAAGGCTACAATAAAAACATATTTAAATTTGATATGTCTCCAGAGACTAGTTAATTGGAAGAGAGACAAAAATAAGGCAGGGCCAAATCTATCTTTTGCTAAGGTCCTCTCTGCTCCCTTCAATCTGGCTGTCAATTATTTAAATAACCCTTGGACAAGGCGGAGTGAAGGAGGACAGGCAGCAGTAGCACAGCAGCCACTCTGCAAGCACTTAGTCGGGACAATGTGAGGCAACACACTTACCCCTCTTCTGCATAAAGACAAAGAGGTCATCCAGAAATTCTTTCCTTTCAGGGTCACCGTCCAGTTCATACAGCTGCAGGCCAGACCCCAAGAGAAAACCACAATGAAACATCCCATCTCACTGTAGGTGTTACCCCAGAGCTCCTACAGACATCTGAGTAACTACAGATGTGACTCATTTGCCACTCACATCTCTGTGTTTAGGGGAAAGGCACAGCCCACTGCAGAACTGCTTCTATCTTTATCAAAAAGACATTACAGACCTTGGCAAAATCTCGAGAGATCTCTCTTCCCCGGCCTCCATCAGTATCATCGCTCCAGGCCAAAGCACCATTCTGAAGGGGACAAAACACAAAATTGAGAGGGGAATGGGAATCATGAGTGAAAGAGCAAGACCATCATTCAGGCAAAGATGACCACCCTCAGCATCCCTGCCCTCCTGCTCACTAGAAAAGCCTATTCAGGACCCTCTACTATCTTTTCATGAATTTCCTGTTTCGCTTTTGAAGATGGCTTCAAAATATGGCTGGTTGGTGGGTGGGTTTCAAAGAACCATTCTCCCTTCAAACTTTAGTCTTTCAACCCAGCCTACCACCAGGAACAATGCCCAGTGACTGGAGGCCACCACAGCCTGAGACTATGCCTGAGGTGCAGACTAGGCACAAAAGGCAATTTTCATTAGGAAATTAAAAAACAAAACAAACAAAACCCAAGCTTTGGTTAGATCAAAGCAATGTTATTCAGTGGAGTGGGAGGGAAGGGGAAGGAGCCTGTGTTTATGTTCTTCATTCAGCAAACGCCTCTTTACCTCTTCTATAGGAAACCCACCCTTCACCCGGTTGCATTAAGAACCCCAGAAACTGTCTCTGTCTGCTGCTAGTTCAGAATTTCAGTCTTTCAAAATTATGTCATCTCCATCAGAAGGAACATTCCTTGATAGAAAATCAATCTTACTATTTTCTTTCTACCTCAGCACAATACCACACAGCCTGGAAGTGATCAATTTGTTCTTTGAACTAAAAATCTCTTCCAAATACACAAACATGCATACCATAGAGATAGTGCAAGCACCTCTGTGCAGTGGCAAGTATGAAATCTTCCAGTGTAGTTTTCTGTTCACTCTGTCCTAGTGGATGCAACTAGATACCTTGAGCTATGACACACCCGCTCCTCCCTTCTCCTGGACCACAGGCACACACAGGTGCACCACCCTGCTAGCAGAGTGTGGAAGTGCTGGAGAAGCCAAGGGGGCTAGGAGAAGAGATTTCTTGGAAGAACACTTTTCAACTGCACAGGAATCTTGTTCTAAAACCATGAAATGATAGCCTGGGCGACTTCTACTCTGCACCCATATGCACACCCTACACCCCTTTGCCTGAAAGCAAGAGGCCATTATTGAGCTCTAGTTTAAGGCTATACTTTGCTTTCGTTACTAGAAGCTGGCTCTAAGATGGAGACCCACTTCCTCCTCACAGCAGCAACAGCACGGTGAGTAAGTCTGATACAGAAGTAACACCTTGTCAGATGAAATGAAACAGATTATGACAAATTGTTTTCCCACTTATCTAGTGAAAGATGTGTGTAAAAAAGTGCTTGGTCAGGAACTGGACAGTGCACAATCAGATCCAGAGGCAGACACTGTTACTAGTGTCCTTTCAAGTCAATAACCAAGTAGAAAAAAAAATAGTTTTTTCTTTTTCTTTCTTTTTTTCTTTTCTGTTATTCAACCCCACATTGTAATTATAGTCACCAGAAATCTAGTATCATCTGGTGGCAACTAGCACAATGAATAATCAAGATGAATATGCCTGTTAGGTCAGCAAAACCAGACAGTTACATTTGAACCCCTTTCAAAGGGTGCAGTAGGTTGCCCTAATGCCCAATGATTTTGTTTGAGCCAGTAATTCCTGCTGAAAAGTCAATTATCCTGGGAGCTCCTATTGGTGGAAAGACATTTAATGGGGATCATTGTGTTTCTGTTATGTCAGCTGTTTACTGTGCAGCTCAATTTCCAACTCTGCAGCTAGAGATCTGAGGCCAATGCTCACAGGAGGGTTCTTTATCAGTCACCAAGACGAAAACACTGAGTATTTGCTAATTACAGTAACTTGCAGGCATCCCAAGGCTCAGAAGCTGTGTCACTCTCAGTTGGAGGGAGAGAACCTAATCCACAACCTTGAATTAGTGGGGCTTTCAGCAGTGGGGGAGGGGTGTGAGAACAAGCATGCCAGTGTGGCCACCTTAGGGCTATGTGTGAAAATAAACACCCAAGTGACAGCAGAGTTCTACAGACAGAAAAGAGAAGAATGCTGGGGTGAGGGGGGGGTTGGGAAAGAGGTTGGTACCCACTATATCTCCTCTACTTTCTCCAGCTCTGACCCAACTGCAAGGGATTCTAAACATTGGCTATTGCCATAAAGTAAGAAACAGCTTATACTGTGCCTGGTCCAGAAAGGAGTCAGCACTAGAGGGTGGAGTGGAGAGAGCGGAGAAGAACAATAATTGAGAACTACATTCTAAAGTGGATACCAACGTACCCTACAGTGACAGGATTGTAGCCGGAAACATCTCTAACCCAATAACCACAGAGGAGGACACTGGCCACAGGACAGAAATGAGACACTGAACTTTATTTTTTAAGAATGTAATGAAAAAGAAGTTGCCTGAGTGTGTGTGTCTTCCTTCTCCTGTTTCAAGGCAAAGAAGGACAGTCCATTCCTTCTCTTTTCTTTTTGGCTTTTTGTGACAGGATTTTCTCTGTAGCTTTGGCTGTCCTGGAACCTAATCTGTAGACCAGGCTGGCCTCAAACTCAGAAATCTGCCTGCCTCTGCCTCTCAAGTGCTGAGATTAAAGGAGTGCACCACACTGCCCAGTGATAGTCCATTTCTTAGCTTAAAATACTTGGTTGGGACCTATGCAGAAATCTCTCACTATTTTGTCTTGAGGCAGTTATTAAATTTACTCTGCTTTGCAGGTTCTTCTGGGCTAAAGTGAAACTAACCCTGTAGCTAGCCTGTCTGTCACAGTCCAGTGGGATGCCAGTTTCTTCATGAAGCCTCCTGGCCTCCCTTCTAAGCTGTGTAGCCTCATATTCTGGTTACCTGAGTCCTTTCATCTCTAATCTTAAGCATTTTGAGGGTATCCCCAGCCCTCAGCACAGGGACAGCACTGATACCTGCTGAGAGACATGGTTAGTGCCCCTGGGACTCACTGCCTCCTGCCTCCCTCCTGCCTGTACTAATAATAGGGCTGGCTACAGCTCTTTTCTGTTTACAGCTCTAATAGAATGGTATAAATGGTTCACTTATACAATATAAGCTTCCTTCATCTATCATCAGGTGTGGACATGAGTAACTAAAAAGTTATCAGCCCCAAAATAATTGTTCTTAGGACAACAGGGAAAAGGAGAGGCAAACGAGAACGGGGAAAATGCATGCCCAGAGACAGCTCAACCTTCTGGGGATGAAGAGGGGTTCATAAATTGAAGAGTCACTGCAGATAGGTTTACCCTTCCAGGAAAAGGCTTTGAACCCACTTGCACAGGCAGCAGTCCCAGAACTGGGGTTAAAGGGGAAATAAGAGTAGATGTCAACAGTAGCCAGTGGTTACTTATTGTCATTTACAGCCTCCTCTTACTTCAGAAATCCCCTTTAACATCTTTGATCTCACCAGGAGCTCACAGGAAACTGACAGTTTGTCTCCAAATACCCACCTAAGACTAGTTTTAGCTGCTATACCCACATTCAACTGTCTTCCCCAGGGAAACCAGACTATTTTGCCTTTAAATTCCTTCAAAAAGGTAGTGAAAGAAGACTGGGGGGGGGGGGCAGGGGGGGGCTTAAACAAGGTCTCACAGTTCCGAACTGGCAGCATCAGTGTGCTGGGTTTGCCTGGCTTGCTTGGTGACATCAGCACAGAGAAAGTCTGTCTAGAGAAAGGCTAAATCATGGCCCGAGTGGCTCATTAATGGGAAGGTCTTTTTTTTTTTTTTTTTTTTAATGGGAGGGTCTTTTATTCTTGATTCTCTCACTGAGTTTATTTCAGCCAAACAAAAATCACCTTCATTTGCCCTGGAAAGGTATCTGGGGACATCTTTCCCCAAAAGGGAAGACCTTTACCTTATCTTTACCTCCAAAATAGACCAGCTACTCTAGGATGGCCCTCTTTCCCCCAGGGGGACAGGGACCAGGAAGAAGGGAAGTGGAGGAAGAGAAAGGAGATTACATTTTAGAGACCAGAGGAATGTGGCACCTAGCATGTATATATAAAGGTTTCAAAATAAAACAAGTCAAAGTCTTAAGCTACCTGACTGCTACTCAAATTAAAACACTGGCCCTCCAACTTCTCAATCCTAGAAGGTTAGAAAAGCAGAGGGAAAATAAACAGATTCATTCTTTGAAAATCTAAAAAGCTGCCTATGGAAGAGGAGCCAGCCTCAGTCCCAGCAGGCAAAAGTAAGGCAGCTGGGAAGAACTGCCCAGGAAGCTCTCAGGTCTACAGATGAAGGTCTTTATCTATCAGAACTACCTGGCAATGGAGAAAGACTTCTTAGGAAGTGAGCAGCAGCTTGGTTCTGGATGACTATCTGGGATCTCAGGATTTGGGATCTCACATGAGGCAGGGTTGGACCATGTGGCCTTTTTCTTCTTTTGTAGAACAAAGATCCGATGATGAATTTATTCACTCCAGATTTCACTGAGAACACACCCCAGGTAGAGCAAGCTGCTGAGAATAGCTCCCCTGCTTTCCAAAACAAAAGTGGTCGCCAGCACTGAGAGAGTTACCAAGGAGTTGGAAAAACAAGTTGAATATACACTTAGTAAAGCTACAAATGCCAAACCACAAAATGCTTGGGAAGCAGAAGGTTGAGGCTCAGATCTGGAGGTTAACGTGGCCTTGAGGAATATGGACTGAGGGGAGATTTATAGCTCAAATGAGCACTGGGGTAGAGGATAAACAAGGCATGTTTTGGCAGGAGGATGTAAGTACATCAAATCTAATAGTTAACGTGGAAACAGTCTGTGAAATGCCTTGAATACCAGGGGAAAATTTAAACTCTGAACTGAGAACAGTGGGGAGGGTTTCTAAACTGAGAAAAAGTAAGATAAAATCAATATTCTGGATAGTTTTAACGAACTATTTTTTGTTGGAAAAATATAACCTATCCATATGGATGTACAGACATGTAATGGAGCTGGGGGTGTGGGTGTCCTTCACTTTTTGGTTTTTTCTGTTCTATTCATTCATATATAAACTTCTGCTCTCCTCGGATATGCTAGAGTCTCATGTAGAGAGATGGAAATTAAACAAACAGTCTATGCTGAGGATGTGCTT